AATGCGTCGAATGTAGAAAATTTATTTTAATTTTTTAAACGTTTTGAGACTAGATGTGTCTCATCATTCAGCTAAAAGAAATTTACAAAAATTTAAATTTTCTACATTCGACGCATTGGCTGTTTTATTCATTTCAATATGTTTCAACGTCGAACAAAAAATCCTCAAGATTTATATATATATATATATATATATATATATTTGAATAGTCTTGAATTTGATGTTGATATATATATGTTTATATATATATGATATATATATATATATATATATATATATATATATATATATATATATATATATATATATATATATATATATATATATATATATATATATATCGATAGAAAAAAAAAATTGCTATTTGAGAATAAAAATATCTTTGTACAGTGTGAACCGAAAGTTCATTTGCCTTCAAAACGATAGCAATTACATATGAATTATGTATTTTTAAAGAATAGAATTTCTATTTCTGTTCCTTCCTACTACATAAATAAAATTCTATTTAATTCATCTAGCGCTTGGTGAGTAAATACACAAGTAAGAAGAAAGCATAATAAATGTGTGCGAATAAGCCACACAGACACAATAAGGAGCTTCAATACGAGTTGTAATATTTCAAATATTTGTAATAGATCATATTCGTAGAATAGGTACTTTCAATATTTTCAGTAAAACAGTATATCTTATCCTTTGATTATAATTTTAACGAGAAAGCATAATAAATGTGTGTAAGTTGTAATGTCTCAAATATTTGTAATAGATCTTATTCGCGGAATAGGTACTTTCAACATTTTCAGTAAAACAGTATATCTTACCATTTGATTATAATTTTCACATAAATCTTCCTTTAGTAGTATTTAAACAATTGACCAACTGATGACATCTACACTCGAGGCTTAGCTTAAAAATCCACATGATGATTTTCCAGAAAGAGACAATTATGTAGCTGCCTTTTGAAATTACATTATATCACTACGGGTGCTCTGGATGTTATATCAAGTATGTCTTAGTCATTACTCAAGCTCTGGATGTTATATCAAGTATGTCTTAGTCATTACCAAAGCTCTGGATGTTTTAGCAACATTTTGTTTCCAAATATTATCTATTCAGTAAAATTGTTTTATAACATTTTGTGAAATTAAATATGTGAGATAAGAATTTTTTAACAATTGTGCGATGATTTGTGTGTGAATTTTATTATGTATGCGACAATGTTAGATCTCCAAACGTTATCTAAAAATTGCATATGGAAAGTATTCAAAAGCTTCAGTATAAGACAAAGTTGATGTCTTCAATGTGTAAGTACAAAAGAGTCTTGAAAAATAAATCAAGTAAAAAATCTAACCTATATGTACCTACCTAATGTACATATTTGGAATCGCATATTTAACGACTTACGTGTTTGTACCATGTGATATAAGCAAACATAAAATTGTAAACTACATTAAAATGATGAGCTAAATGATGAGTTAAAATAATAAGCTTTCCCGAGTGACTAAACATGACATTTGTAAATAAAATATGAAAGTGCTAGGTTAGAAACCTAGTTGGTGATTTTTATCGTAAACAATGTATCACACAACCGTACAAAGTTCAATTAAATAATTAGTACGTACTAATTAACAGATCTGTAGTTAATCACTTGTTAATCACTCCTTTATTTATTAATAATCACAACACACAATAATAATTTTACACGCCAACCGTCCACCATTTTAAAATGCGTTTCTGTCGCTGTATGCTGTAAACAAAAAGATGTTCGCTGCAGTGTCACCAACATAACAAATTTAATTATTTTTTATACGTGCATGATATATAAAATTTTGAAATTATAAATTTGACATGCTTTATTGTGTTTAATAAACATTTCAAACTATACTAAATATACTACAATGTCTTTACGATCCTGGAACATTACAAAAAAAATCTTCAACTCATTTCTTCTGTAAATAATAACATAAAGTCAAAAAGTAGAATTATTCCAACATTTGTAGTTCTGTATAAATCGTTAGATAGATTTATATATCACATATTTCTTAAGTCAATAATAAAACTGGTAAAAATTATGTCTCAATAAAATAATTGTATGAAGGTTCATTTTTCATTTATTTACTTACTTCAAAATAAAATGTTTAATAAAAATAAAATTATTAGACACTACAACTTAATTATATACAATAAATTTTGAAAATCACTATCCTAAATACCACTTCAAAGATGTTTTACTTGGTAAACTCACATTTTTAATAAAAATGAATATAATATGGTTGCACTTCAAAGCATTAATATTAGTCCATTATATTCATAAGATAAAAAAATCATTTATTACCAGCTTTCGAAGAGTGGTCAAGACTCATAGAACTTGCCTTTGCAATCATCCCATTACCGATGGCAGGATTAGTGGAAACTACATTTGTTATTTGTAAATTATCAACACCTCCTGTTTTACTAATTGATCTATCAGCTGTCACCAAGGTTTCAAGTTTAGTTAGTTTATTGGTTTCAAGTTTATTATTCATATTCTTCTTTTTAATAGTAAAATTACCACCATTTACTAAAACTGCATGCTCAATTTTCACCAACGTAGAATTGGCTTTGGAGTTGCTAGATGCAGCAATGGTATTATTACTTTTTGAATTACTATTTTTCACATTATTTAGTTTATTTATTGACCTTATATTCCAACTATCGTATTCAGAATTAATCTTAGCAGCACCCAAAATAGGTTTAGATGTTTCCTGATTGCCAGTCAAAGGGATATACTTGTAAGTACCGTTTAAAGCAGTACTGTTATTAAAAAACTGATTTTCATTTATGGCTTTGGGATCTTGTTTCTCTTTCATTTTAAGAATATCATCTAACAATTTACTTTCATCAATAAAATTATGACTATTTGCTAAAACTATATGACCAATCTTCACAAACTTCGAATTGGCTTTGGAGTTGCTTGATGCAGCAATTGTATCATTACTTCTTGGATTACTATTTTTCATATTACCCAATTTATCGATTGACATAGTATTCAACCTGTTGTCTGCATAGTGAATCTTAGCCATACCCAAAATACTTTTAGGTGTTTTCTGATTATCATTTGGTGGTATAAAGTTATAAGTACCATTGATAAAAAACTGATTTTCTTTCATTGACCTATCATCTAATTCTTGTTCCAGCCTCAATGCTTTAGTTTTAAAAATATTATCCAACAACTTGGTTTCATCGGTCCACCATACAGGTTTAAAATGTTGTCTTACATCCTCTTCATCAAACCTACGTCCAAAATTCTTGTTTTTCACAAAATATTCCATAGAATTCAACTCCATTTTCTTGTCATCGTACGGCCTCACAAAACTCAAATACATATTCAACTTTCTCAAGTCACTATCCTTCTCCTCTACCAACAAAGGCCCTTTTGTAGGAATCGGCTTAAATTTTGGAGGTCTTAAAATTTGTCCAGGCACAGGTTCAAACATTTCATACTTGGGTATATGTTTAAAAAATGGTTTAAATAAATTTTGACCAAACTTCTGATGTTTGGGTGGTGCTACTGGCTTTTGAACAGGTTGAAAAAGGTATTTGTGGTTTTTGTGGTACACAAAATCGTCTTCAGCAAGTTTTTGTTGTTGGTTTTGAACAAATTTGTTAAAATCTTGACTCCAACTTGGCTGGTGTTGCGTCTTAGTATATTGGCGTTTAGGATTTGGTTTAAAACCATTGACATTTGTAGGAACATACTCAAATCTAGGCAAATTGTTATACTGATTATTAACTTGTCTCAAATTATGGTGAGTGCCTGGTATAAAACTAGACGTATAATATTTCCACTGATTATGATCAATATTTTCAAAATCAGCAAGATTATTGATTTCTTGCGGTGAATTTTTAACAAAATTCAAATTTTTCAACACACTTGGATGTTGTACTGAATATTTGTCAAACATGTTATTTATTATATTAGGACTTAACTTGAAATGTAATATTTTCGAATCCAAGTCATTTTGATCAACTTGTGCAGCCGTTTTCCTTGTATTGATAATACTATCATGTGCATTGTATAATACATTGTCCAAGTGTTGAAGTTTACCACCATTTTTAATATTTTGACTTTCGGGAAATTCATCTTGAACTAGCATATGTCCAAAAACTGGATAACTTCCAACAATGTCTTCTGGTTGAGTAGAAAATACATACTTTGGTAAAGTATGATAATTTTGAAGTAAATACCAGTTGTTGGGTGGATACAAATGATATGCAGGCCTGGAATATCCTCCCATGTCAGATGAAGCACTTAAATTGTCATTTATATAACTTGGTCCAGGTCCATGTAATTTGTCTGGATAGTACTCATCATTAAAACCATATTTAGGTTGTAGAAACCCATCATTTACTTTATTTTCTATATTTAAATCTTTTGTAGAACTCCCAATAGTATTAAGACTTGGTGTGATGGGTATCCAATCATCATCTATGTTATATTTAGATGTAATATGTCTATTTTGATTTAAATATGCATTCTGTATAGCTTCAAGCAACTGCTTCACCACTTGTAACTTTAGTAAAGTTTCTGAAGTTATTGGACCATCAAGTTGGAAACTTTTGTGCAAAAAATCATATAAATTATCCTGTCTCATGTTCAAAGTTTTGCCTAAAAATTCGTGACGCCAATAATTCTTTGGCTGTTCAAAATTTGAATTTGGTTTAAATTCATTTACTGACAATTCTTGTTTCCACAATTTTGAGTCCTGTTTGCCAGATTTAAGCTTTGATTGATAACTTGAAATACTACCAATATCACCTACAACCGATTTATCGTCAATTAAAACATTTTTTCCTGACGGTAAATTGTCTGATGTCAATACCTCTTCTGGATAGACCACAAACACATCATTCTTTGTAGATGAAGTCGATTGATTATTGAGGGCTTGATAATTGTCTTGATCTACACTTGGATCTCTAACAAATTTAGTATATGGTTCTTCATTGTGATGTCTAAAATTCCTTCTAGTTCTAAAATAAATCTTTCTCCTGCACTTTGTTGCATCCGGTCTACGTCTCCTGTACCTTCTTCTAGGTCTATTTCTATATCGTCTTCTTGATTTACCACCATGGGGCCTCGGCTGATGCTTGGAAATTAGTCCATCATCATGATAAAAATATGTTTTTAAATAATTCTCATAATCTGTATCCGATTCAAAAACTGGTGCTTCAGCATAATCAAAATTTCTAGGAATCGGATGATTCAGTATAGATCTTTTGGATTTATTAACGGGCAGAGTGTGGTCAATGTTTTTTTTTAAATTTAATAATACAAATACTATTTTTGTAGAATTCTTTGGTTCGTCATTGCTGGATTGATTTTTCTCAGCTTTCAATTGTCGAGTGGTGTCCATGGAACTAGAAAACAAAATGTGTCGATTAAATTTAAATATAAAAAATTGAAATAGTAAAAATTAATAATTATATTATAGTAGCAAGCTGTAATTCTTATATATTATTTTATCACTAGATATGTAAAACAATGAATGCTTTATTCATAAATCTTTGGAATATTTAACATTTAAGACCGTGTATGTTCTAAACACTTACACCTAGTTTTATTATCATTTTGGAAATTACCTGTCGCTATTGGCATTTGCTTCAATTAAAATAATTATTAATATAAATAAAACTAAAGTATATATATTTTCACTGCACTTAACCATTATAATTAATGTTATTAAAGAACTTATTTATAATATAAAAATCTAAAAATATAAATATAATTTTTAAAAATTAATATTATATTAAAACCACTATATTTTATTACTAACACTCTTCTCTATATTTTTGTTTATAAAGTGATTCATTTTTTACAAATAATTCGCTTTTATGTGCGAATAATCATTGGTGGACAAATTAAGGTCATATTTAAATAAAAAACTATATTTTGTACAGATAAAAGATAGTGATTTTTCAATGATGTTTACATTATAGATAAATTATATAAAATTACAGAATTTACATAAAATTACAGGCATTTTGCCATAATCCAATTTGCATGAACTTCTGGATATATGGAAATAATTGACTTAATACTTAATCATTAAGATTTAATATATTAGATACAACTATATTAATTTATAATAAAAAAAAGAAGTTAAATTAATTAAAACATGAGACATACATATTATATGTCCTAAAAACGTTATTCTAAACTTTACATTTTATAAATGTTATACTTTTCGTGGGCCTATAATATTTTAGGCATTTTACTTGCACATTAAACTCTATCACTATGCAATATTTTGCACAAAAAATAAATTTTAAAACTATTTCATATCTTTGCCAAAAACTAATCAGCACATGTCCTAATACAGTTAAATTCTAAAGAAGCTGCTCAGCCAACCTGTATACAAAACTAATAATCGCGAGTTCTTATCTAGCTTTATCAAATTTAGATTTTTGGAATCGTTTCAGCCGTGTTTGAGGAATGCCTATTATATTTTAAATCACGGTACACACTTGCGAAGCAAATTAGATTTTCAGATAGTTAATAAATAATATAGAATCTATCTACAGAACCTTTAGTGCACGAGTCTTGCTAGTGTTAAGTTCAATTTTTCTCCTAAATTGACAAATTGTACCTCACGTGAAGAAATTTGGCCAGCAATGTGACGTCCACTTACACACTTTACCGGTTATTCAAGTTATATAACAAAAAAAAAGAACAACGAAAGGCTTGTCAAAACATACCAAAGGTCTTAAGTCATTCAAAATTAGGTTTTTGGCATAAAAAATTTGGTCTCAATTTTTAAATAAATCAGGTTAAATAAAATAATTCAGGACGCCGACAAATGATAATTGACCCATATTATAAACTAGTGGGGTGTATGGCATCGTGCCTTAAGGCAAATTGCTGGAACTTACCGTAACGAACTAACCGTAACGAAATGGTCAAGGAATGCTGAATGTTTTCAAATAGATTATTATAAATATTGTAACATTGTCTAATATTTATAAGAATTATATAAACTGAATTGCAAAGTTGATATTTGTTTAAAGTATATTGGAACTATAGTCGGAATTAAAAATAAAATCTGAATTATTCTCGATATACAATTTTTTTTCTTTTTTAAAAAAAGTTGAAACAATTTTTTTTTCCAAAATCAATTATTTTGTTAAGACAAGCATAAAGTTCTTTGAAACATTTAAATCGGACGCTTAGTTCACTCAAAAACTGCCATTTTTTACATATTTAGCTCCGTATCTTCGAAATGGCTGGGCCTGTCTTTGCCAAAAACTAATAACCACTTATCCCAATCATTACAAATCGAATGTTTTTTAGATCATTCAAATCGGATACTCCGTTCTCTTAAAAAGTCGATTTCTATTTTCTGCACTCTTTGCTCCGTATCTCCGAAACGGCTGGACCTGCATTTGCCAAAAACTAATAAGCCTTTCTCCCTATCAATAGGAATCGAATGTTTTTTGAACCATTCAAATCGGTTGATCCGTGCGCCCGAAAACGTGACTGGAAATTTGTATCCATACATACATACACACACACACATCCATTTTTTCTGAAGTATGTCAAAATGTTCACCTTCAAAACGTCGAGAAATGTAAAAAATTTCAATTTCGATTTTCGGCCCATTACAATAACTTACCCTACGGGAAGTTAATAAGTGTAGGTGGCATTTTCCCCTGAAGCAAATTGCATAAACCGATACATTTAGCAATTTTATTTCATAAATAAACGCTAAAACAATGTCAAACACACTGAAAAAAGAAAAGGGACGCTACTAACTAGCTAACCAAAATTAGATGGAAAAAGCAAACTAAAACTAGTAGTTCGTATTGGTATTTTTCCTTGAAGCAAGTTACATGAACTTCCCAATATGTTAAAATAATCTAATTCCATATAATTTCTTATAAAAAAAAAAAAATTCATTTATGAGTGATATTTGAAAACGAACGAACACGTGAACTCGGAGTATTTTCTAAAAGCAAATTTTCACAAATCAATTTTTATAATTAAACCAGTTTCCGTAGGACTTTAATGGTTCAGTATGTTCATTAAGACCAAGTACTCTATCGTTATACCAAGTAAATCGTCTAATTTTAATTTCAACAAACGTCAAAAAACTACTCATTTTTTCAAACTTTGATGAACTTTTAAAATTAAAGTACTTGTCCTAAAGCAGTAATATTTCAGTAAGTTCTATAAGGCCATGATATATATATATATATATATATATATATATATATATATATCGCCAAAGAAAGATCCATAAAAATCGGCATAATTTTTTTTTCAACAGATAATTACAAGAAAACGGCTCGGTAGATTTTCACCTAAAACTAATCAGTATCATTACCAATTAATATCTATCGAACAGTTTTTGATTTTTTAAAATCGATTCAGTAGTATGAGCTTGAATGTGGACAAAAAGGTTAACACTTTTTTCCAAATATCAAAGAAACGGCTTGGCAGATCACCGCACAAAACTGAAGAACGATAGTCCTCATTGAGCCACATCAAATGGTTATTAAATTTCTGAAATCGGTTCAAGCGTTTTTGAGCAAATGTCGATGAAGAGTCTAACTTTGACAAGTGCCAAAAAAACGATACTAATTTTTGCAAAATTTTGACGAATTTTTAAAGCTAAACGAGTTGTCGTAGGGCCGTAATATTTTAGTATGATCTAGAAGACTATGGTATCTACCGTCAAAAAAATAATAATAATAATCGATCAAGAAAACGACCCAGCCGATCTTTAGCAAAAAACTAATCAGTATCTTTCCCAAACAATATCTTTCAGGAGGTTTTTAAATTTTCAAAATCGAGTCAGAATTGCGGGCTAAAACGTGGACGAAAAATTTTTCACTTTTCTGCTAGTTATGAAGTAACGGCTTGGCTGATCGTCGCGTAAAATTGATAAACGCTAGTCCTTATTGAGATACATCGAGTGGCTTTTAAATTTTTGAAATCGATCCAGCCGTTTTTTAGAAAACGTCGATTTACGGCAAAAAATCTGTTTGTGCACACGCACCCACACACACACATACACGCACACACACACACAAAATTTTTCCAAATTTGGTCTCAATCGACGATTCAGAATGGCTTGAAACGTCGAGAAAACATAAAATTTGCGAATCGGATTTTTTTATGAATACAAACTTCTCCTTCAGGAAGTTTGTAAGAAACTACGTGTAAGGGGCATTTTGCCTTAAGGCATGTTGCATGAACTCACCCCGATGATGAATAATCGTCTTAATCAATAACAAATCAATTGTAATTCTCATAGTTATGTATAGAATATAAAGTAGATAGACGACTTAATGAATCAAAATTTATCTGTTTAGATATCTATGGACGGAAGTCGCAAAAAAAATCTTGTTTTAGTGTCAGAGAAATCAGAATGACTTGAAATATAAAATTAGCAAGTAGGATTTTCTGGCAAAAATATAAACTTTTCTTTCGAAAAGTTCATAACTAACTAGCAAACCCGACGAACTCCGTTTCGCCACCAGATGGTTTTGTGAGAAAAATGAAGAAATTTTTTGTTTGTTTTATATTTGAAAAGGAAAAATTTGATTTTATTATACAACAGTAATGAATTTATTTCGATTACAAAAATGAAGTGTTTTTTAGTTGAACTTCTCTAAGTAAATGAAAGTGAATTTGCAAATTATCCGTTTCATTGAAGTGCTCTTTGGTAAACCACATTTTTTGTTTTTTGGTCTGGCGTTAACACAAACAAAGCGGATGGTTTTCCAACTCGTGAACAGACAACGTATAACTGCTCATGTGAAAAACAATTATTCTCTAAATAATCTATTTGACTAAATAAATCTATTTCACTAAGCGATTGGCCTTGCGACTTGTTATTGCGAACGCAAGGCGAACTGGAAATTGCAATCGTTTGAAGTCAAACGGAAGACCAGTCGGAATCATTGGTATGTCACCAAATCGCCAGCAATTTTTGATTGAATGGTGAAGTTCAGTGCGTGTACATCATTATTCTTTGCGACAAGAATTGCTCGTTGACTTAACCAAGCATAATTCTGATAATTCTCACTAATGTCATTACTCGAATTTTTAATTACGGTGCGTGAAGTTCCAGCAGCTTGCATTAAGGCACGATGCCATGCACAATTAATTTTCTTAGCTATAAACCTTTCGGAGCCCGAGACCTTACAAACGAATGCAAAATTGTCGAAATCGGTTCATGCGTTCTGGAGTTATTCCGTCAGGAAGGAAAACCCGACTTATTTTTTTATATATAGAAGATAACAGAAACAATTAATAATCAAACATCTGAATTTGTCAACAATTCCAATGGCGTCGATAATATCAACTATACGCATTCGATGGAAATTCGATCATAATATTTAATGTTTTCACAAACCACATCCTTTAATTTTATTATTCGTTTGCTAATTTTATATACAAAGCATTGTTAATGTCTTCAGATATCAATTTAATTATTAAACAATAACAACAACGACAAAACGAAACATAATTTCAAACAAATTTCGCCATTGTTCGACTTATCGTTGAAGTGTTGCCATGTAAAATAAATAATAATAAATAATAAAATATTTGGTAATATTAATAAATAATTATTAACATATAAAAATTACGGATAACACAAATGTGCAAATAAAAAAAATTTTACATATTTAGAAAAAATAATAATTAGTAATTTATTTTGCTTTTGATAAAAAGCGCAGTAATAATGAATAATCAGATATTAGTAATGAAAGTTATAGTAGTTGCAAAATAAATATTAACGTTTTTACATTATTTAAACCATATTCATTTTAAAAATATATACCTAAATTTTGATTTGCCCGCCCTTCTTTCAATGTAAATATTTTGACATTTCACATATTGTCATCTACATATTATCAATAAAATTTGCTATATTTGATAAAAAATGCATAAATTTGTAATAATTAAGTTTAAGCATTTGGATAAATGAATAATATAATTAATTTAGATATTTTTAGCCCCAAGAAAAGATTTAATAAAATATATTACACCAATACTGTATACATAACCTCCAAATCTTACTAAAAATTAAAATAGTGTTGGTTTATATTTATATATTTAATGGTAATAGCAATTAATTTGCAATTTATTGATTATTGACATTTTGTTAGTATAAAACTGTGATAAATCTTAACGTTTTTTATATTATTTATTTATATAAAAATACTTTTCTAATTTTTGCTCAAGTATTTTGACGTTTGACATTTGTTACAAATTTTCATAGAAAATTGTTAATAATAAAAAAACACACGAATTAATAATAACTAAGTGAAATGATTTGGATATATAAATAATATAATTAATTGTAATGTTTTTAGTACCCGAAAGAAAATTTTAAATAAATGTTATACACATAACCTCCACAGTTTTAGCATTATTTGAATTGGTTTTATATTAATTAATTTATTTTAATTTGTTAGAATTTTCTACGAGTGGAAACAATATTTATTACCCAAGAAAGAAAAAGAAGTGAAACTTCATAACGCAAAGAAAAAAATTTTAGACACTTTACAACACTTTCGAATTATATATAATATTTACAGACAATCTACAACGCTCAGCTAATTTGCAACATTTTTGGAAGTCTTGTTGGAAGTTTCACTTCAAAACATATATTCTTATTACTTTCCAATTTGAACTATTATTGTAGTTTTATGATAACATTCGGAAAAATATCATTTCAGAAAATTAGGAACACCAGATTACAAAAAATGTGACAGTGGCAGTGACAGTTCATAGAAAATTGATTTACCCAAATCAACGAAAAGATTTAGACGAACCAATCGTTTGGCACCTTGAAAATACAATTTTTAGAGGCTTCACAGCAAAAACAATTAATCAAGATAATCAATTTACTATGTCTGCAGTAGCAGTCTACACCTTATTTTACATCCTGCTAAGTGCAGGTCTGGTCTACCCTCCACCAGAATTCATCTCAGCTGGTCTAACCATAACAAGACTATTTTCCAAATTTCTTGGTTCTGAAAACGAGTGCTTTATCCACTACCATATTCGAAGAGTGGAAGTAACCCTTCTGGTGCACACATGCCTACCATTAGTCTATATTTTAGGGCTCTGGTACGCAGACCCCGGTTTAAAATTCTCTGAATTGTTTTTCACAAATGCCACTTTCTTATGGAAGATTTTTGTGTTGGTGTCATTAGTGACACCGATGCTGGCTGCATTTAAAGTTTACCAATGGGAGAAGTATAAATGGAGAGGTCATCCAATTATTAAGAATTTGAGAGCTTATTGCAACTCAAGGACTGATTGGGTCATGCTTGCTGGAATGATTGGCCAGGAATTCAGAGGGTAATGAAAGATTTTTGTAATTACTCATAATTTTACTTAACTACTTGCTTTAATAATTGACAGAATTGACAAATTTTCAATGGAAATGAATTCTATAACAAAATTCATTGCTACTGAGAATTGGATTATGAAAGTTTATCCTTATACCATCTATTTTGCTCATCAGCGAGACACCACAATGATTTTGGAACGGGTAATAAAAGACTTAATAATTGAAGTCTAATATAATTTAATTAAATGACTAATTATGTTTGCAGAGCGAGACATACACAGTGTCTCACATAACAGGGTCGGACGTGCAGTACATTACAATATCAGTCAAACCAGTACGCGCAGGCACCAAGCATTTTACCATAAGATTGAACTCTTTAGATTTTAAGGAACTACAGGACCGAATTTTGAGAAAAATCATCATTTTACCTAACGTCAAGTTCCATAAAACAATCCAAGAAAGATTTATAGATGCTTTTAAAGAAGTTATTGCTGGGAACCCAAAATATTACACATCACAGGTATTTGCAAACATTTACACAAACCAACTTATATCGTTAATTAACTTTTTTGATTATTTACACATATCACAAAGTTTTGTCCCTCAAGGCAAAATGCCTTTTAGAAAATACTCCGGTTATGTATTATGCGCGTTTTCGATATTTAATAATGTATAATAAATAAATAATTTGTCAAAATAACTAAAAGTTGGAAATATTGTACAAAATTCAATAATCTGCATTTTGCGCTGCAAGAGCAACTGTTTAACACATTGTAATGTCCTACAACAACGTGTACTTATAAATTACTATTAAATTAATATATCGATTACTTATTGATTAAATAGGTTATTTGCACACGTCAGGAAGTTCATGCAACTTGCCTTAAAGCTTATATGCCACTTACACCTAGTTACAACTATTGTTCCCTCCCCCAGGCTCCTGATTCCTGCATGGGATGCATGCAACAACCATCAAATGTGAAACTCCAAAAACGGTGTCACTTATCATCATCGAATGAGGAAATTGAAGCCAACAATGCTCAAGATGGAATTAGAAATCGCCGCAACGGCAGAAATGTTAACAATGAGACACCAAATGCTTGTGTGTCCTGTCGATGTGGCCCCATGTGGTGCGATGAGTGCATGGCTAGATGGTTTGCTCATCGACAGGACCCTCAGCAAAGCAGTACGTGGCTACTGCAGAAATGCACTTGCCCGGTTTGCAGGGCTGTATTTTGCATTAAAGATGTCAGTTATGTTGTTAACAGCGAATAAAATTGTTATTTATGATATTACTTGTTTTATAAAAAATAATGAAATGGAAATATTCTCATTTTATAAAATTTATAAATAAAATATATTAATACAAAACCAATGGCGTTTTACTTCCAGCAAGGTTGCATTATCTCACAATGGGGAATAGAAAGATTGTTATTTGTATAAAAATGTTGCAGATGTTATGAAAATGTAAAATGCATGAAAGTATTTTCTATTGTCTCAAAATGTTCTAGGTTGTCTGAAAGTGTTGCAGATTGTGTTAAAATGTTGTAGAAGATATGAAAATGTTTTAGGTTGCTTGAAAGCATTGCTGTTTGTCTGAAGATGCTCTAATTGTCTGAAACTGTTGTAAATTGTATGAAAATGTCGACAGTTGTATGGATATGCTGTAATTTGTTTGAGAATGATGTAAACTTTCTAAAAATGTTTTAAATGTTATGAAAATATCGCCAACTATCTGAAATTGTTGCAAATTGTATGAAAATGTCAACACTTGCCTGAAAATGTTGTAAATTATGTTAACATGTTTTGAATTTCATGAAAATGTTGTCAGTTGTCTGAAGATGTTGTCAGTTGTCTATTAATATTTTTCTATATGTGTATATATATACAAATTACCGAAAAAGCCTATTGTAGATATATTTTTCTTAATGTTTACACCCACACATCCATACACATGCACACACACACATATATATATATATATATATATATATATATACACAAATAATTCAAATTATATAAATTACCTCATCACAAATATCTCAAAGAACGTCTTGTGAATTTGAACCAGGGCTTGGCGTTGAGCTAACACTGCTTAGAGTCTCCTGATTATCCTGTTCGAGAACACTTGATAGATGTGTCTTTGTATGCTGTCCGCTGCCATCATGACTATGGTGCTTTTTAATAGATTGTCCTGAAGAGTCCTTTTTGCTGTGCTTGTGTTTATGTTTATGTTTGTGTTTCTTTTTATCCTTTTTCTTCTTTTTCATCTACAGTGGTAATAAAAATATTAGCATATCGAGAAGATGGTTTCAAAATGTCGTAGATGGTCTAATAATTATTATAAATTGTCTCAAAATGGCATAATTTGTTTAAATATGTTGCATATTGTTGTAGTATGTCTAAAAATATTGCAGATTGCCTGAAAATGTTGTAATTTGTTTGAAAATGTTATGGATACTGTTCAAATGTTGTAAACACTAACAAAATGTTATAATATACACAAACAAGTTGCCTAAAAATGTTTGAAAATATTCAAATGTTGTAAAATGCATAAAAAGTTTGCAAATTGTCTGAAAATATTGAAATTGTTTGAAAATTATGTTAGTTGTTTGAAAATGTCAAGATCCTATGAATTTTATGAACTCTTTGGAATTTCTCTTAATAGATGTGAAATTTAATCACAAAACAACATTTATAATAATATTAAATTTTCTGTTTATATGAATATGTAACGCACCTTTGAAATGCTTGCATCAGCACCAGATTGAGACTCCTGCTTCACAAATGAACTGCTCAAGTCAAATGGTTTTCGATCAATAGGCAGCGCTACATTTTGCCTCATGAATTCAATATTTTTATCACTTTCTAATTCACTCTAATAAACAAAAAATAGATATGAAAGAACATGATCAAATAAATGCATAAAGGTTATTATCAGAATCTATTGTACCTTAACTTTAACCTCGTGCATATCAGAATAATCAACAATCTGTCTTCCACGTTGGTCATCCATGTCCAAACATTCTCTCTTAACAGGCTTTATATCGATTTCGTCTCCTTCGCTTTTAATGTTATGCAGACCAGGAACATCTTGTGATTCTGGATGAGGTCTCTTCAGATGCCCACTGGACATTGATATGTCCATGTCATGAGATGACATCAAGGGCGAGGGATTGTAACTGGGTTTGGTTATTGTTGAAGTAGCCATGGAGGTGGTGAAATGGTGCTTTGACTAAAAAATAGATAAAATTAGTATTATTATGTATTTTTGGGAAAGCAGGAAGACTAGCAGTTTCTGAAGCAAATGATTAGTTTTTAAGAAAGGTAGGGTTCAGTGCTTTCAATATCTATAGGTTTTCAAAAAATACAAATAATAAAAAAAAATCAAATTATTCTAAAGTTAGAAAGTTTAGTTTTCATAAAGCTTTAAGACTTTTAAATTACTATATATGAAGTTCCAGCAATTTGCTTTAAGAGACAATGCTTATTTTATTTTACCTCTCCTCCAAAATGTGGACTTCTAGGCCTAGGATTTGATACTCGTTGAGGTTTAACCAAGTTAGACATTTCATTGCTTTGAAGACATTGAGGTCTTCTAGATCCATACAATGCAAAATATAAATCTACCAGATCACAACGTAGTCTTGTATCATGCGACAACATGCCACTAAAAATATAAATAAACATTAACCATTGCAGAGTTATGTATTACATACAAATCTACAAATTTAATCTTACTTGATATTATTCCAAATTCTTTCCACCAAATCCTTCGTATCCAACCTATGCCTGTGTCCTTTTTCAAAAGGCGGTTTATCAATAAGCATTCTAACGAGAGCATGTCTGACCCCGGGGTCTCTATCTGTCTCTACTACATCTAAAAGTTTGTTCAAGCCATCTCGCCTGCCATCAACTCGAACAAAATCCACCAGGCATTCTAGAGCTGCCAATCGAACATCTGAGGAAAGACAAAATGTAAAAATGTGTTTTATAATAAATCAATCATTGACAATTTGAAACTACCTATATACTGTCCATATTCTGCATATGCCTTAAATAATGTAGGCCTGCTTGGCAAATGCCCACATTTTTGTAATTTTCTGATAACTTTCAAGCAAGACACGGATACTGTGTTTTTATAACAAGGCAGAACCTTTTCTAAATTCAGCATTCTTGTGATTTCTTCCAAAACCAGTTTTGTGTCTGCAGATAGTGATTCTGCAGTTATGGGAGCACCCTAGGAATAAAAATAAACATTGATATAATATAAATGATTCAAATTTAGCAGAATGAAATATAAAAACATATATTAATATGATAAATAAATAAATTTTAAGTATATATTATATATATATATATATATATATTAATTTGGAAATATGAACAAACAACACTCTTCTTGCACTAATTTATTAAATAATAATTTTCACAAACGTTTCGAGACTAGGTTTGTCTCATCATCAGTGTGTTATAATTAAAAAAATTTTAAAATATGGAAATCTAAATTAGCATTTTGTGTTTTTCATTACAAGTCGTTCACTGCACGCTGATCTTTTAATACCAACGGTCTTCGGTATTTGTATTCTCTCCCACTTGAAAACCACTTGAAATTGTAAAGTCACTCAATCAGATAGGAAAGAAAGGATTAGGTTCCGTTGAAAAATAGATGTCGTTAGGAGAAAAAATATTTTATGATGAGATGGTTTGTTTATAAGATTTGTTATACATTGTTATAATTAAAAATGTATGTACATCTATATATAAGCTACAAAGTATGAATGAGATTCAGATATGTATCATGTAATATATTGGTATCTGTTCGTAAATTTACTGTGTTACTTGTATGGGCTATTAACATCGATTCTGCAATACTTCTTTTAAATAAATCTTGTTCATAATATAAAATGTGCGGATTATTGAAATCGAAACTATGGCTGTTAGAGATAGCGTGGTCTACAAGTGTACTTTTTTGTTGTATGTTATTATTCTTACTTTGTTTGCTTGTAATTCGTGCTGTCTTAATCTTTTTTCTAAATTTTGACATGTTTGCCCAATATAAGATGACTCACAGTTCAAACAGTTTATTTTGTACACCACATCTTTTCTTTTTTTAGTAGGTGTATTGTCTTTAATGTTTGTGTATATGTCTTGCAGTTGTAGTAAGGGTGACACGGATATGTTAATATTATGTTATTAAAAAGCCTTTTAGATAAAAGGTGTAAATCTTTGTCTATATATGGAAAATTCACAAAACATTTATTTCTGATACAGACAAGTGATTTGAGCAATGTGTGGTTATTGATTGTTTGTCTAATAAAATTTAATTCTATTTTTATTATTGGACTGATTATTTTGTAAGGGAAACTATTCATGAGTAATGTGTTAATGACTAATTTGATATAGGTTCAGGAAAGATAGCTGTTCAGGCAGGTATATTAATTTTAATTCTTTTACACATCTCAACATAAAGATATCCACAGTTCTCAGTTTAGTAGACCATGCAATTCTTTTATCTAACCCAAAATTTCATAATCACAATATCAAATTAGTCATTAACACATTACTCATGAATAGTTTCCCTTACAAAATAATCAGTCCAATAATTAAAAATAGAGTTAAATTTTTATTAGACAAACAATCAATAACCACACATTGCTCAAATCACTTGTCTGTATCAGAAAATAAATGTTTTGTGAATTTTCCATATATAGACAAAGATTTACACCTTTTATCTAAAAGGCTTTTTAATAAACATAATATTAACATATCCGTGTCACCCTTACTACAACTGCAAGACATTGCTCAAATCACTTGTCTGTATCAGAAAATAAATGTTTTGTGAATTTTCCATATATAGACAAAGATTTACACCTTTTATCTAAAAGGCTTTTTAATAAACATAATATTAACATATCCGTGTCACCCTTACTACAACTGCAAGACATTGCTCAAATCACTTGTCTGTATCAGAAATAAATGTTGTGAATTTTCCATATATAGACAAAGATTTACACCTTTTATCTAAAAGGCTTTTTAATAAACATAATATAACATATCCGTGTCACCTTACTACAACTGCAAGACATTGCTCAAATCACTTGTCTGTATCAGAAAATAAATGTTTTGTGAATTTTCCATATATAGACAAAGATTTACACCTTTTATTAAAAGGCTTTTTAATAAACATAATATTAACATATCCGTGTCACCCTTACTACAACTGCAAGACAT